GCTACTGAAGCCTAATGTTCCACTAGGAACCCAAGGGATAAATAACAGTAATAATAAGCATGTATGCATTACTCATATTGTCTTACTAAAGTATTATCGGTCTGGTTCTGTAAACATGAAGTGAAAGCAGTAAAATGTTTCATCTGATCCCATCTAGATAGATCAAACCTGAAGTTTTCCATCATAAGGAATATGTACCACCGGTATTCCACCCTTAGTTGCCAGTAGATCAAAAGTGTTGAATTTGTACTGATGGGAAACAAATATCCTTCTTAACGCATTGCTTGCTTTGGTATAATTCACACATTGATGTCAATTTTTCATTCTTCTCATTATCCATTATTCATATCATCTTCACTGTAGCATATTCCAGAATAATTTTACCATAGAAAAACTTCTTGTAGTTTGCAATATAGTTTATGCATATTCAAAAGGAATTCATCATTAAAATGAATACATTTTAATCTTAATTTTGAGTCGTCCCTTCAAAGATGACAGAAATCATTCTACAGTTCCACATAAGGTATTTGCTGAGAAATTGTACTTTCATAGCAGAAAGTTTTTTGAATGTACACACACTATTCATATATCAATCATATTTTTCTGCAAGGTACTTATCATATAGGTGAATCCTATCAGTTCTACATCAATATCAATGTCTGTTTCTCTGCAACACTTAAAAGAGTGACTACTTAATATCAAATTTACATTTGAGGGTCAGCATTTCCGTTTGGTGGGTGGAGTTCCCATGGGAGTTCTCTTGAGCCCCCTTTTAAAAGATAAACATATCGCATGTGGAAAACTTAGTGGAGAACTTAATTGAGAAAACCATTGTAAATCGAAGATATTTCGATGATATCCGAACTATATGTGGTAACTTGTCAGTCCATTTCAATTCTAAACCGACCGAATGAAGTGCAGAGCAGCGGATCCTTGAATTGTGTGGAAGAAGACGATGAACGCTTGTCTTTCTTGGATATAAAATAGTTAGTCGGTGACAGGACTGGTCCATCAAACGGCCTATCTATCTATCTACAGAAAACCTGCATGGACAGGATAATATATGAACTGTCATAGCTTTTCTTCAGTTAAATACAAGCGATCGTTAATTAAATGCTTATTCACTAGAATTCAAGGAATATGCATATGTGATACGTTGGAAGACGAGAGAAGGAAGCTGATAGAAACTAAATTGAAAAAGAAGTGTCCATCACAAGTCGGTAGTAGTCAGAGAATAGAAATCTGCTCTTCGTCTCTTCCCCAAGAAGAATGTCCTCATCAGTTTTCTGTACAAAGGTGACTGCCATAGTGCGATTCTTTAGAAGAGACTTAAAGCTGTTATTAGGACTTACTAATCAAATAGGATCCGACTCATAGAAACCATTAAGCCTTCATATTCTCCTGAAACCTTATAGTGTGTGAACGGTAATGTCACATCCCACTGCATCTACCAATTCAAATGTACGTGTGGTGACAGATGCACAGACAGGTCTCATAGATCCCTTCAAGTAAAGGCCTCGCAGAGCATTCCAATAGAATTACCTGAATGCATAAACGTTGGCAGCAGACATTCAAGTTCTTTGACTGCCAAATATATCTTTGAGAGAGATCATAAGACTGACGTTGGTATTTCCTTTAGCTCTACTTACAAGACGTGTTGGGGATGGATCTTTAAATTTGTCAAGGCCTTAGCTATTAGGAAATTGAAACCATCTGTGTGTTCAGAAACAATTTGTCATCACATTAAATCTACATTGGTCAATTCAGTTTTAATGTAGTACTATTTTTGTTCTATTGACTTCCTTTCTTATTTGGTCTTTCATTTAGCCTGTCTACTTGACCTCTTTTCAAATTCTCACCCATTATTTCTTTATAAATTTTCATATCAGTACCCATGATAAGTAAGTGTATATGATCAAACTGTTCAAAATTTGTTGCGCAAGTAAATTACATAGTTTGGGCAAATTACGTCTTCTTATTGTTTTGTTGAGGTTCATAAAGGGAACTATTTGCTTCAAAATAATCCTAATTAAATACCGAAGCTTAGAAAACCCAAATACTGATGTATTGTTTTTTTTTAGCCGTAAATATTCTCAAATATTCATGCCGTCTGGCATACATATGGTTCAAAGATCACTGTAAAAATATGAGTTGAATATTGTTTCTTATCTGAACCAGTTATTCTACACTGATTTCCATCATCTTCCACTTATCCGTAAAACATGAACATCATGCCTATCAAAACTCGTTAATCTGTACAATTCACATGAATACAGAAAAAAGGTTGAAGTAACTTCAGGCTATGTCAGTAAAAATTATTTGTACAAAGATGAATAGTATGAAGTTATGTCTTGTCAAGGTGGCCTGGTTAATTTTTGGGCTACTTTAAGTTCTTCCTTGAATATATTTCATCAAATTTTTCTCTTTAGATTTCTTTTAGTCTTTTAAATGTATCATGTAATCTAGGACCGTTTTTGAATGTTTTCAAACTGTCCTTTTTTAATGCTAAGAACGAAACAAAGGAAAAAAGTTATTTCAGATGGAAATGGACATATAAATGCCTAGAAACACAATAAAATTCTGTTCATAGGATATCAACATTGAATTGCAAATTTTTACACTAGCTGAATGAACTACCACCAATATTCATCTCCAAGTCCAGACCAGATGCTAATGTAATACCAGATACCCGTTTCACACTTATGACTTCAATAGCGTTATTATTAATGTTATTCAGACGGAATAAATAATTTCTCCTAAAAAAATTGTACAGGGAGCATATTTGTTGAAATAATACCAGCTGAAAATTCCATAGTGTACCACACATGTTATTTGGAATAAAGCGGTCATTATTATTATCGTTGTTATATATATATATATATATTCCCGATGATAAGGTTCTCTTCTGAGTTTACTACCGTTTCTTGCTTTCGTCAGTGACCTACAAGGAGGGAAATTTAGGTGTCAACCGATATTTCGGTTCTCCAGGAGGACCTTACAAAAATCCCACGTTGGACTATAGAAGATCTGCCCTCTCAACTCGAAGAAGTATAGAATAATGATAGTTGACAAGTATAAAAGTAGTCCTAATTCATACTCTTTGAGTGAAACAAATATCTGTCACTCTAAAGTGGAGTATGATCTGGGAGTTACATTAAGTGACACACAAGGAGCCTTGCATCCAACAAGGCCTATGGAGTCTAAGGGTTTCTTTCGCCAACTTTAAGGAGTCTAAATCCTTCTATTTTCATCACAGTGTATGGATTATATATTCGCCCTCATCTTAAGAAAAAATTCGCTGGTGATGCGCTCATACTTGAAGGAGGACATAGCCGTCCTAGAACGGGTTCAGAGAAGCGCTAAGAAGAAAAGGATTGGGTTACAGTACAAACTTTACCTAGACTGCGTAGTTGCTCATAATCTTCATCCAGTTAATACCGAAGGATCGTAAGGGATGTGATCATGATGTACCGCATTGCCCATAATCCCCTTCATCTTAACATATCCCTTCTCAGCCTTAACCGAGAACGCCACCTGAGAGGTCACCCATTAAGAATAGAGCATGAAAGAGCACGAACAAAGATCCGTGTTAAATGGTTTGAAATAAGAGTTTGTAAACTATGGAACCCCTTTCTTTCAGCAGTCGTTAAAAGTCCCATCCCCTGACACTTTCAAAAGGAGGTTAGATGCATATCTAGAGTCTTGTGGTACAAATGGGCTGTACTCGGGACGGTTTCCGTCATCTACAGATTATGAGCAGTAACACTACCTTGAAACCAATTTAATTAATAACCGACTATCTCTATCTTTTCAGGTTATTCGGAACCGACAAGACAATTGTGATCATCCCAAACCTACAACTTACTCCAATAAGACAGATGTAGAACCCAAGGAGCTATTGTTCACTAATCCTACAACAAGAAGTTTGAAACGTTGAAGAATGAATCGTTTCAAATAACCGTAGTCTTTACTGCTATAATCTGTTGCTTACATCATTAGTTAGGTATATGAAAATTCTTTTTTGGCTGTTACAAGAAGAGAGAACCTAAGGTGAGGGTAGCTTCGAAGTTTGTCTGAAATTGAGTATTAACAACCCATCCTTAATTTTTATGCTGACTATATACTTTTTGTAAAATAGTTCACACTTCTAGCTTTTTAACATAGTATGGGTGTTTGAGTATGTTTAAGATTTCATTTTCTGTAAAATTTAGTCAAACAAACAAAGTTGTCTTCTAACAAAAACTAGTTGTAACCAGAAATACTTGATTACATCAACATAAACACTTTAATTTGGTTTCCTGTCGAAAACTGGTCTATTTCCCACTTTTAACATAATCTTATTAATCAACTGAAGCTACTGTGACTTCTTTTCTCAAATGTACGACAGTGCTTATTATGACTGACCAGCTGATTTCACCTGTATCGCAACATATTTTATCCCACCAACAATGGCTACTTACTCGATAACTTGCCCATTTTCATCCGACAACTAGTCATCATTGTCAACTGCACAAATCTTGATTTATATATATTCTGATCCGTTCTTGCTAACTATTCATGGGTCTCACAACATCTATGTATATCTATCAGTATACGCTCTCTTATGGATAAAGTTATGTAGGCCACATAAAGCACAGTCTTTTCAAACGCATCTCTGGCCACTATCCTTCTTAACTCCTTCGAGAAGAAAACGATTCAGGCAAATGATCCATATTGAACCATTTGGTCAACTTTAGTCATTTTGCTTGCCTATAGTCTTCTTTCAGAATAAAATCTTATGAGCGTTGATATATGATATAACTAAAAGACAGCAGTTTTCTCAACAGATGGTTAATAGATGCATTTCAGAATGTATCGAAAATGGTTAAGAAACACAACAATCTCTTGTGAGCAATATAATCCATAACCCATGATATACTGAGTGAAGTAATAAACTGTTTAGCTGCTAAACAGTGATTGTTTTACTGAAAATTTAAACCAATAGTCAGTTAGGGGGTTAAAAAAAAATCAAGACTTTACTCCAACTTACAATTTGTACTGTTTCAAAAGTTTAAAATAAACACATGAAAACAAATACTTCTGATATATTTCGTTATTTAAGAATAATTTTTCATTGTTATGATGAAAATAAGTATACTTTATTTTACAAAGATCGTTTGTTTGTCAATGGTACTTTGATCATTGTTCATTTCAGAAGATTCTACAGATAATGCACGTTCTTGGGGAATCGGTAGTAGATTAGATTGAATATCAATCATACGGGAGGCTATCTTGTTGTTAGTAGGATCGATATCCTCATTATTCTTGTTATATTCACACGCAACACCATAATAACCAATAGGACATATACAATAGCACTTTTTCCATGGCATATCAGGTTTTTCAAGTCTACCTGAATTAAAACAATATGGTACACATTGTCTAATCAGATAATGTATTGTTTTAAACAACTTTTTATTTCTGTTTGTAAGACTCAGTGTATTACCATGTTGTAAAGCAGATTGAATACATTGAGCATTTAACAAGAGTATAGATAATGTCAGCAGCAAAAATGGGATAATGAATGGACAATTTCGTATCATTGTTAAGCCCACTGACAGTATTGTTTTCGTCTTTAGGATGATGCAATGGTGTTGTTGTTGATGGTGGTGATCGAAAATTAAGACGAAAACAGGAGATAGATACCTGTTAATAAATAGGTTTATAACTTCTTTATCAGTGATCAGCCTACTGTTTATATATTCCTTTTTACCTATAAGTATGTTTATGAATATGGAAATGTGAGTAATAATTCTATTGGTCCAATAATCTTCAATTGAGTAATGAACAGAATATGAAGGGAGTTGATGTATATTTTAAAAACCTCACAAGATTTAATAATTTTTTTCTGAACCCAGTTAAATAATCATATTCATTCAAGCATGTGTGTGGGTGGCGTTGGGAGTCGGGAATTGTTGTTGTTGTTCAAAACCACAACTGAATAAATAGTTTGAAGGTTTGTGGTAAAGTGAGTACTATTCAAAACTTTGGAGCACTGAACAGTTAATTGTTTTCTACTGTCATGAAGTTACTTAGTAGTGTGTGAGACAAAAACCAGAATCATGAGGTTTAATAGCAAATATGTTACTACCAAGTCAGTGGACCAGAACCGGGTGTTTTACGTTTTTTTAGATTATGTCAATTTACGGTACAGCATGACTATCAACCAGTGGTATCTCTTAGTACTTATCTTCATATCCCAATTTGGTAGGGCCTATAAATTACTCCTATTTACTAGAACCTCTGAAATTTCGTCATGCGACCAACCACCGGTAGACATCAGATTATTATTTAGTTGAAAGGTTCAACCAGAATTCATTGAACAAGTCACAAGTATATTTAACTTCGTTTTATTAACTTCCACTATGAGAAATTCTATCTGTTTAAAGCTGAATCAGAATGTTAAGTTTAAATTACAATGTTACTTATGCAATGATTTTATCCAACAGTCTGTATAAACCATGTAAAAGTTGACTTCAGTTAGATTTTAATTGACTGTAAGTAGCACATCACTTGTAGGTTTGATAGGTATATACAACCGCTTTCTGACCAAAAGTAGTAATAACTTGCAGCAATTGAACTTAATCACTTCTTTGATAGGATTTATAACACTCGATCTCTTCAAACAAGTCATTAGTACTAGTTCATTCTTAACATGAAGAGTTGGTATGTGAGTCGATAGGAAGTGAGTTGATTCAAGAGGAACTTAGGGATAGCTTTAATCAGCAATAATATAAAATAGCTTCATCGATACTTTTCATGATAGGAATAATTATCTACGGAACAATACTTCAACAATCCCCGTCAATAGGTACCATAATAAGGCTATACATGACGACGAATGCAAAGCTAAGTAAATGTATTCTTTCCTAATTTCTTACCTCATCGAAAACAGGATATTTAGATATAATGAAAACCAGGTTATTTTGAAATTAACGGCTACGATCTTAAAAGTGAATCTGTTTTAGGTCTAAGTGAACTCTCATCACATTTATACTCATACACACACAAGCATACACTACAATCGATGTTGTATGATGAGTATTTAGTGATAATTCGCATTTTTGAAGTAGCAACTAGTATTAAACTATAGCACTATTTAGTTAAGCCTACGGTATCTCCTTTTTAGACGCGACTATTTACTTACAAGTGTAATGGGTGTTGTTTTTAAGTATGGGTGTTAGTAGTATGTGTTGAGGTGGTGACAGAAATCATAGACAATTACCAGCAATGGGTAAAGGTTCTGCTCAGAGAAACGCAAGAGACAGTGTAGGCTTTTTAAGAGCAAATCAAGAGAGAAGTAGAAGAGGAAATGAAACACATTATGCAAATGACTGTCCTAGTGCAAGGCCTACGATATTCGATGACTACTGTACTGTACCAAATATCAGTAACACCATTTCTTCCTTTTTTCGTCCCTGCCTTCTCGTTTCCTTCAATTTGGTGGGCTTATCAGGAAGTGCAACTAGCAATCACTTTTGGGAGTCTTCATCCAAGTTGAGAAGTGCTCGTTGAAGTAGTTTCGTTAACTTCACAGCCAATGCAAGTGGATCTTCCTCCATTCCAAGTTTCGTGCCCCGGAACTGCTGCATCGTCAGCTCCCTACCCACTGGGCTGTCAAACTCCACCTCAGGCCGTTTAACCATTCTCTGCCGATTCTCCTTGCCATCTCCACGTTCCACGCCACCATATACTGCTTTCGCTCTACCCCTCAGCAACATGTCAAGCACTACAACCTTCGCTTCTGGATCCCAGGTCACCCACCAGCCCCCTTGAACAGTGCAAGCCAAGGAGTCTTCATCACGTCCATGTCAATTTGTTCAGTTTTGCGGTTTATGGGGACTTATTGATTTCAAGACTGTATTCATTATGGAATGACATCAGTTAGACAAACACTAGAGACCTGGGATCCCCGGACATCTGTTTCGTCCTCGTATGCGAAGTACAGAGAATTGGATTCAGACTCATTGGCTCAATGGTAACGTGCTGGCCGCGGAACCCGAAAGTTCTGGGTTCCATCCCTGGGGAAGTCACATGTGTTTATTCCTGAGGAGTCCCGTACTAGGACGAAGCAACTCCCCAGTGCTTCGAGGTTTTTCTTGTACTTCACCAACAAATGTCAGTTTATGATTAGTACCAATCTGAAATTTAATTAGCTTCCAATCTCAGTTGATCTGGAGCTTATTTAGTAGTTGGAAAACATTAAGATCAGAATTGATGCTCACTTCACTGAAATATTGCACATAGAGAGAAACAATGTAGCTTAATTTTGCAGGCGAATCCATAATTCAAACACCAACTAGTTCCTAATATCCCTAGAGTGATCATAGGTTCACACTGCTAAGGAGTTCCGTACCAGAAAGAAGAAGCTGTCTAGACCTTTAAAACATTTAATGGTTCCCAAATCAAGATCAGTTTATGATGGATACTATATTGAAATAAATAAATCCTCTCAAACCTTCAAAAAGAAATTAATAAGTCTACTAAATGACGGTATGCAACTCTTTTTATATTGACCAGTTAGAAGAAAGTGACTTCAATAGGTTTATTTATGACATACAAAACATTTAAATAAAAAAATCATATATATATATATATATATATATATATATATATATATATATAAGTTGGTTCTCCTTCTCCATTTTCTACCTTGTAAGTCAACTGGATTGCGTCTAATAGTGAGTTTATATGTTTGAGAAAACTGTCAATATGTTCCAATGTCAATATACTAAATATGTCATCCACATATCGCTACCTTATCCCATATGTAGGATTAAACGTTTGTGAAGCCATATACTCTCAACTATCTATGAATATATCCACCACAATTGGGGACATTGACGATCTCATTGCTACTCCTGTTTTTCTATATATATTCTCCTGAAACTGAGGTCAGGCACAACTGTACACTTGATATGGCTTCAGCAACCGATATCTTATTTTTACGGATAAGTTTTAAGTCAATATTCAGTAGATTTCTGACTGTCTTCAGTGCTATATTGATTGGTATTGTAGTATAAAGACCTGTTACATCGAAACGAACCATTTCTTTATCCTCTTATATATGTATGTCAGTAAATCTTAGTTCCAACTGGTAGGAATTGACTGGTCTAGAATTTAAACGGTTCCTAACAGGACATACCACTGTTGCCAAATACTTCAATAGTTCGGATGTTGAAGTATTTCTGAAGTCAACTGTTGACCTGGTGGGATAATCTGGTTTGTGAACCTTAATAGTACCGTAAATCCTGCTAAGATTATTAGATTTAGGCATTAAATGAATGGAGAAAATGTCTATTTTTGAATATGCCAGAAATACTCACGACCCTTAAAAATGAGTCATAGAAAATTTTGGTACAGATCGTAAACACCCTTTAGGAACTTTAATATGTGTGGGATACACTGAACTTCTTTAATCTTCACTGTTGTTATAACAGATGAATTTCATCGAAGGAGTTTTTCAGTTCATTGAATTTATCAGACAGAAAAGGCATGACAAATATCTTTCTGTTTATTAAACATACTGATCAATTAAAATCAGCTATGCATGCTAGCTCACACGTAGAGAAAATCAGCTAGGACAAATTTTATTTTGAACTGCAGTAGCAACTAACCGAAGCCAAACACAGCTTTATATGTAAGTCTTATTCAGAATATAAAATGAAGATTACAGTAGTTTTACCTTACAGATGAATGCAGTGAGTGAACTACTGAAGTTTTTGAAGAAAATCCAGTTTGTATGACTCGACTAAACGATGCCATCTATGTTCATTTTATTCAGTAACTCTACTCCATTAAGCAACACACCAAAAGTCGGTGAGATCTAAATGGATATATAGCAGATGTTTAGAACAGGTGATTTTCACAGTGAAGAAGAAATCTGATCTCATTTGAAAAATGTCACTATAAATTGGAAAGGCAATGCATATAAACGACTGGATACGCCTCTATCTTTGTTTTTACTAGTTTGAAGCTTGTTCATAGGCGTGATATAATCAGGTAAGGTTTAAATGGAGCCATAAGACGAATTCAATATGCCGCAAAACTAGCCTTCCTTAGTAGCATCAGGCAGTTAAACCTCACCTGGTTAATTAGTTCACTAGTTACTAGCCGGTCCTAAGCCCGGATAAACAGGCTTTAGCACAGGGCTACCAATCCTACCTCGTAAAACCAATCCAACCGCTAAAGAAACTTCATAGCACACAGAAAATATAAAAAATAAAGACAAAATTATTCCTCACTGGGATCGGAGAGACGAAATGACACCGGTTGGTGACTGCATTCGGGAAGGCAGTCAGCCGATGTGTCTCCTCTCGATGAAAGCGAAAGTAAACATGGGGACATGGAATGACCGCACCGTGTTTGAACCTAGAAAGGCTGCCCAGATTGCAAAAGAGATGAGAAGGTATAGCATGGAAGTGCTCGGAATCTATTAAAGCAGATAGAATGGAAGTGGACTCTACAAACTGTCAACTGGAGAGGAGTCAATAATCTACTCCGATATTGTCACCCAGACGACAAACACGAGCACACGGAGGTAGTGGCTATCATGATGTCCCCAAGAGCGTTGAGGGGTCTCATGCGGTGGGAACCAGTCATCACAGCAAGGTTCAACTCAAAAGGAAGGAACGTCACAATCATTTAACCCTACGCGCTAACAAATAAT